CGATCTATACGAGCTGTCAGAATGCCGGCAAAAGCCGACATGTGTGTCCGCTTTGCTGTGACTCTCAGACACCCGATATTAAGGTATCGGGTGTCTGAAAAAGGTTAACCCTTTCAGTAATGGATCTCTAGATAGTTAGACATCCATTACTGAAAGGTAACCGCTGATTCTCAGCGGTTAGCAGCCTTCTAGTGCAGCAAATAACTCGTCACGTACAGTGTACGTGACGAGTCATTTGGTCCCTTTGTGGCTGGACGTACAGTGTACGTCTCCCGTCACGAAGGGGTTAAGACAATTCTTTAGGTTTACGTGTGTCTGTGAAGCTCTCACTTGTGGTACAGTAGTTAAGGAGTATTTTATGGTTACATAGACTGCGACATACAGTATGTGTGCAGTGTGTACTGCGATTAGGCTTAGACTATATATACTGCAACCGTGTTCCTTTAGGCCACACCCAATATCCAGTGCAATTTAACAACACACATTCGCCCCCTTTCCAGGTTCCAAGTGCCAAGGTTTGGGCATGTCTGTGAGATTCTTGCTTGTGGCACAGTAATTAAAGCATATTTTTTTTGGGCAATGAAGGACTATGTTATACGTGTGTCATCTATACAGGCAATAGGGTCTGGTTATATTTAACCATACCACTTTACGTCCCTCTCACAATTAGGCCACATCCACCACTACGTTCTTGAGGGTGCCCCAGGTCTTTCACAGTCCTAGTTATGATCTGATGATTATGAAGTATTTATGGTTATATCCTTGCATGAAAACGCAAAACAACACCGGGCGCCTTTCCTGGTGCAATAAACATTTTATAAATAAAATGAGGTATACAAAAATGTATACTTACAAAGGAAGCAAGGGTTAGAAACGTCAATGGACTAATGATCCTTAGTGACTATTCTGCTGTGGAAATGAGTTGGAGCGATTGAAGGGCAATCCAAGAGCTCTGCTTTTCACGCCCCCTTCATCAGAGCTTAAGGTGCGCGGTGTTGTTTTGTGTTTTCATGCAGTGCTCGGGATCCCCCCTGTGAAGGATTTCAAGAAGCACTTTTGGCAATAGGAGTGTCTGTTTTGGCGCTGATCGATGTATATTTGGAATGTATATATCCTTGCCTACGAATATCCTAAATTTGCTGGATATCACTGACAAAAAACACTTGACAAAGGGTCTAACCGTTCCCAACCAAAAAAAAACAAAAAAAAACAATGCTTGCCTATACATACACTAACTACTAAGAGTCAGAATTTGAATGAGCTAGCTTCTAACTGTCCATTACAAAATACAAGAAAGTTGTAATATGCATCAACCTGAGAATTAAGGAGACACTAAACTCAGGAGTTAAATCTTAAAAATGCATTCAAGTACCTTAACTATCAACAAAAATGTATCTTATTTGTGTATCATAGTATACCAGAAAGTCCCCCTGCACTCCTTGCAGCGTCGCAGGCCAAATCACGATGGTGGTGCTCGTAGTGATAACCATGGATGGCGCTGTGCACATCAAACAGGAGAAAGTGAAGATCACCAGCACTCAGAGGATAAACGTTCAAATAACAATGTCCGTTTATTTGTATAAATCATCACATCACAATAGCCAATGTTTCGGGGCCACACAGGGTCCCTTCATCAGGGCAATACAGTGACCTACTCACTTTATTGCCCTAATGAAGGTACCCTGTGTGGCCCTGAAACATTGGCTATTGTGACGATTTATCTGAATAAATGGACATTGTTATTTGATCGTTTATCCTCTGAGCGCTGGTGATCTTCACTTTCTATTATTTGTGTATCACTCAGCTGTAGATCCTCAAATCATCTCTGAATTGGTGCTGACACTGTCCTTCCTTCTGCAGGGTGGCTACTTTTGTTCCCCATGGTCCCTGTGTACGTTGTAAAGTAGCCACTACCCCAAGCTCAATGCCGTGATGGAATACAACCTAACTGTTAGTTTATTAATTTGTATTGAGATTGTATTCCATCATGGGAGTGAGCTTGGAGCTTTACAACACACACAGGGACCATGGGGAACAATATTAACCACCCTCCAGAAGTAAGGACAGTGTCAGCACCAATTCAGAGATGATTTGAGGATCTACAGCCAAGAGATACACACATAAGGTTTAACTCCTGAGTTTAGTGTCACTTTAAACTTTGATCTAGCAATACAAAATGTCAGATTTCATACTGAACGCCACCTCTAGGTAACAGCAGGTAATGCCATTGTGCACTTGCTTCTCGCTCATGATGTCCTGCTGAGCAGAATTGAAGCTGCAAGTGTCTTGTTCCCCGGCTACTGTATGTGCCTCTTTACTTGCGCCACTCTCTGCTGTGTAAGAAATTTTATATGGCAGGAGGCCAAGGGCGTTAAAACCTTCTAGACGAATTTCTGTCATAATATTGCAGCTTCAACTATCTAAATACACCACTTTCAGTCTCCATTAGTTTCCTGAATAAAAGGTTTTGTTTAGCTGTGCTAAGTCACCTCTATTAAAGTGTGTTTATGATAACGCTATTGGAGTATAAGTTGTTCGAGCATTAGCAGACAGCTGATTCAGTAGAGATAGCCTGAATAAATTTACCAAGGTGCACATCCAGCTAATCTGTTTGAAGAATATTGTACGGCATTAGTACCAGCACTTCATGTTATCTGCGCTGACTGATAAGGCACATCTTTATTAAATTCAGTTATTGAAAGGATTCCAGTCAGGGAGTAGGAATATTTTATAATCTGGGAAAAAAAATTAAGCATCTCTTTGTTAGACAGAGTTTGGTTTAATGGCTGAGTGTCTAGAGAAGGCTTCTAAACACCTGCAGTACTGTACAATAAAAGCTTTGTGATATTAAGTGGAAATAGCTTTTTCTCCACTCTTACAAGCCTACTTTTTAGCAATAGTCTATGTTTTCAAACACTAGTGTTAGAGCTCCACTTGCTGTCTGTCTGGTGGAAGTGCTCACTGATGTTCTATAAAGGGAATTAAATCATGAAATTGATGATATAAAAAAGGCTTACAATTAGTATTAGAGGAGTTTTGTTCCTGTGCTTCAAATGAATAATGCAGAAATGGCCAAATAGCATTAGTTACTACATGTACAATAAAACATACCTATCTGACCAATGATATGACGTGGTGGAGATATTTGGCTATATCCTGTAGAAATGACCTCTAATTCTGAGCTTGATCAGATGCTAGCTAGATGCCTGCTTCTCACAGCTAAATTGAACATTATGGGGGCTATTCACAAAAGGGTGAAGAGTTTGGAGAAGGCAGGAGAAGTGAACAATCTAGGCCAAAATAGCTGATTTGGAAAAATTCTCCAATTCAGCTCATTTTCCATTTCAGCAATAACCCCCTATATTATTATCTATAAGGAGACAATGTTTAAAGTAGTATTACACTCTCAAACTTTTTTCCAATAATGACACCAGATCAAACAAATATACATTGCTCAGCAAACATTGCTTTACATTATTGCCCAAACACTTACAATCATCATGTTTCTGAACAGCTGCTTCCAAATCTCTCAGCTCAGCTTCCCTGAACTTCCTCTCCAGGACAACATCCCAAGGGACAGAGTAGACTTCAGTAACTGTTCATCTACTAGCTTAGAGAAGGGAGGAAGGAGGAGAGGGGGTCGGGAAGGGGGGGTAACTTGATTTACTGTGTCTGTGCGTTTGTGGAGACACATACAGCTTACAAGCACACACAAGGGTGACTGGATAGCACTCTGCTGAGAGAAAGAAGTTACTCTAAACAGGAAGTCAGGACCAGTACTCAGGTGACCAGCTGATTCTGCAGGAAACTAAAACTTTTAAATATCAAGAAGCAGCATCCATTGTAAGTGATTTCATCAGCATTTCAAATAGCTTAAAATTTGTTTGAATTTAATATTGCTTTAATACTGCAATGGTTTCTGAGCAATGCCTTTTGCCTCATTTTTTAGTAAACTATTGGTTTGTATTTTTCTTTAATTGTTGCTGTGATAGATAGATAGATAGATAGATAGATAGATAGATAGATAGATAGATAGATAGATAGATAGATGGAATAAGCAATGCACACAAATACAAATTATTGACACAGATTGACATAATATAAAGAAGAACCTGTTTACAAGACTTTGAACATTATGCGCACCAGAGGTATATGTAAATGTATGTGTGTGATGGGTATGTATAATATGAGTGTAATATGCATTTGTGCATTATTTATTATATTTAACATTTTCACCGCAGATAATTTTTACAAACATTGAAATCATAGAAAACATTGCCATGCAAACAAATTCTTCCATAAGAGATGACAACCTAATAAAACAAAATCTGAATCCCACAAATTTAATGAAGCATGGCAAAGTACTTATATTACATATATCCCGCACATAGATATGAATTGGAACTTATGCTTTTATTTTTGGAATAAACTAATTTCTAAATGCACAGTTTATAAAATAAATAATCGTATATATTGCTGTATTATGTATGGCACTAAGTGATCCTGCTCACTGTGCTTTAACTTTAACCACTTGAAGGCCATAGTGTTTCACCCCCTTCCTGGCCAGGCCATTTTTCAGTATTCAGCGCTGCGGTACTTTGACTGATGTTTATTCCGTCATGCAACGCTTTACTGAAACGATTTTCATACCATTTTTTGGGGACAGATAGAGCTTTCTTTTGGTGGCTTTTATTCACCAATGGGGTTTTTATTTTTTACTATATAACAAAAAAAGTACCCTAAATTTTGAAAAAAAACATGTTTCCCTATAAGAAATATTAATGTTATTCCCCTCAACAGTGGATTTTAATAGCCTGAATTTAAAGCTTTAATCATGGCTGTCCAGACTGTATTTCGTGTAGATTTGGAAATACAGGGCACTGCACTTACTAAACAGCTACACGTAACCACAATTAATTTCATCTTCTTCAAACTGTGACTGTTGTGTTTTAGTAGCCACTAAAGTACCATCTGATAGACATCTAATTGGTATTACGTACATATCTCCGCAGAATCTCCTTGCGCTCTTTTTGATCCTCTAAGCAGCTGACAGAGAGGTCAGAGACACTGATGGCGGATGAGGCTGTCAGAGTCACCAGCAGAACCAGGCAACCTTCCCCTTCTTCCAAATTCATCTTGAGTTTGTGAGTTTGTTCTTTGCTCAAGGCCGACAGGTCAACCTGGCACCTAGAAGCAAAAATGTTGAATCAGCAAGTGTCTCTCTTCACCAAATAAAATAAGATGGGCCCAGCGTAGCCCATATAAAGCCAACAGGGCGACATCAGATGCGGGATCTGCATATTTGCGATCTCGCTCCCCCGAGTCAGAAAGTTGCATTTAAATACTAATACGGCATAAGCCCAGCAGTTACACAGCTCAGTCAACCATGTAGAAGAAAATAAATTGAAAAAACCTATTCATTTCAGAGAATGAAGATCATATGGTGAGGTGTTTGCTCAATTCTGTTACACGTAATGAAGGGGATGGTTCATTTTGTAACAAACTCTGTACTGTGTGCTCTAAAATATCTGCAGTTAATGTATTTCAAGTAAACAGATCAGCTTATTCAGTGAGGCTGTGCAAAGAAAAATGTTTAGGTGCAAAGTATCATTACTATTCACAACCAATCACATTTCAGCTTAATGAAAAAGGAATTATGATTGGTTGTAAACATAAATAAATAAAATAATTTGGGGCGTTGATGACTATTAGACACGTTTCCCAATATAATTCAAAATATTTAGCAGGGAAATGCAGAAACGCTAACAGCTTATATCTCTCCAAACAATATTAACCACATACCTAAAACGAATCTTGCTGCTCAAGACAGAGCAATGCAAAGCTTTCTCAAGGCGAATTATTTACCCTTTAATGTGAATTGCAGGACAATCCCTCTCCCAGAACCTTAATGCATCGCAAACCTTTTTTTCATAAAAATGCCAGTTGAATTTAAAGAGAAAAATAATGTGGTGACCATGAGGCCAAAAGATTGGGATAAATAGGGAAGACATGAATAAATATATATTTAAAGCCTGGCAATTGAAAATTCAATATAAGCAGACATATATAATTGGGTTAAAAATTTTACATGATCACACGAACACATGTTAATTGGTTCTACGGTATTCTAAACACATCATACATTTTAACAAGGTATTTTGAATGGCAATAAAGAAGTAAAAATATCAGATATGGTTTATTTATGTTTGTTGGTAATTTAACATTTATTTATCAAAGTGTATATGCCGTGGGTCTCATTTTGGTGGATGGATATGCATTAAAAGAGATTTAATTTAAAGGGAATATATAGTCAATCCAGTGTTTATTTTATGATATGTTTTAGATAAATACTGTATGTAAAAGAGATTAGATGTGTGCTATTGGTTTAAATGCCTTAGGCTCAATCCACAGAGATTTATACAAGTCTAAACCTGACTGCACACGTTGCAATCTCCTTTAGATCAAAACCAACAAACAATGCTGTAGTTCAGGAGCTGCCTGAATAGATACAGTTTAAGTGGATAGTTTAGGTATGTCCTCATATTTCTGGTAAATCTAAAGTTAGGTGTACAGCTAGATTGTAACATGTATGGTGAGCTTAAAGCCAGAGCCGTCCCTATAATAAAGCGGCCGGCATCTATATGGGTCACGTGGGGAGGGGTGGCAGGTAGAATGGTATGGCAGCTCTGCTGCACTATGTTTGCAGTGTGCCCACTTTCCAGCCAGAGCGTCCCAGGTTGCTAAGAGCCAGTGTCCCACTCAGCTCCTGGCAACCATTGATGCCACTGTTTGTCAGGAGCTGGGAGGGACACCGACCAGAGCCAGAAGCCCCAACCCCCCTTCCCCTTAGCATGCACCACCAGCACCAGGCAACCAGTAACGCTACTGGTTGTCAGGAGCTGGGAGGGACGCCGACCAGAGCCAGAAGAAGTCCCAACCCCCTTCCTCTTAGCATGCACCACCAGAACCCCCCCCACCCACAGCGGCAGCCCAGGCAGAAAAAAAAAGCTAGGTACACCCCTGCTTAAGGCACTCTATTTTAGCCATGTGAATGTAATTTTAAAATCTAATTGGAATGAGGAAAAAAAATAACTATCACTTTTTTTTTTGTTTAAACAGGTATCCTTATACTAGTGTGTTATCTTTGTGAACAACTTGTATCACTGCTACATAGTGGTTGTGCGTTACCGCACCTTGCTGCAATGCAAGGAGGATAGACAATGAAAGTTCATGGGGGGCTCTTTAAAAAAAAGGGGGGAACAAAAGGGAGTTTTTGCCCAAATTGATCCTTCAAGTTTCAGTTTTATGATTCTGTTTAGAAGGTTGGGCATGCTATAAATATTAATTGGTGTCTGGTTTTAAATTATTACATTATGAATAAGAATGAAGACAATATAATTTTTATCTGGAAATACATTGATGCTGTGATAATTAGTTGGAATTTCTGACGTAACTCTGCTTCTGTTTATCAGTAGCTACCTTCTAGTTTGTCTCTGCTGTGTTTATTTAGTTTATCATACTCTGGAACAAGGTACAATAATTACACTTTATATTCCTTTACGTGTCCTATGTGTGTCTCTATTCTCTTTATTTTTTATGTGATATCTCCATATTATTCCCATTTTCCTTACTGTATTTTTTCATAAATAACCCAAACACACCCCCACCCATAGGTGTCTTCCAGTCTACTGAAAATAATCCACTACCCATGTTAAGCAGTTGCAATGAAATACAAAGCTCCCTCTAGTGGCTATTGTACAAGTCTCTATATTTCATACAAAACAAAAATATGGAAGAACAAACATATAAAAATGTGAAATGCACATAAAAAAATGACTACGACACCAAGGACACTCACTTTTGCTGTGTGAAAAACAAAAGCCAGAATAATATAAAAAAATAGATGTGACAGAATGAAAAAGAAAAACAGTCAGAATAAATAGCATGTTTACAAGAGCAAGGAGCACAAAACGAATGGCATTAGTCACATATAAGCCACTTAAACATAATGCTGTATTTTTTTTCTCTGTTTCCCCTTTTGTTAAAATACAAATGTGCTCCATGGAGACTCCAGCCTATACTATGAAGACGTGGAAGTTGTGTGATTCTGTATTATGCTGCAAGTAGAAATAGAAAGGCTAAGTGGGTCAAATAGTCCTCATCATCTAAGATTTGATATGAAAGAATTTCTTCTATTGAATCCAAAGGACAGTGGGATAAAGCCTGATTACAGGTATGTCAGCTTCCATTCAGCTGTATCTTTAGTGATGTATTGTTTTCCTTATTTACTAGCAAGGCCCAAAGACACACTTGGAGGATGGTGCATTTAGGTAGAAGGTCAAGGAATTTGAAAAAAAAAAAAATAATAACGTGCAGCATAAGGCTGTACAGGAATGACAAAAAACCTGAAATAATGGCACACAAATATTCAGATGGGTTGGAGCATTGCAAATAAAGAATCACTAGACATAAAATACAAATTTGTGGATGCAGTTATTAATAATATTACATACATTGCTACAAGTTGTTTTATATCTATTTCTTTCTGTATTTTAACAATACTTAGATCCTTCATGAGCCTGGGCTTGCAACTTTGCTACTGACATTTTCTAGGAAGGCTGGGAATATTTATGTGTTATTGCCCATTCATACCAATGTGTTGTAGTAACACACCAATGCATTTAGGGTGCAATATTGCATATTAAGTGTGATGTTTCATTAAGCAACCCCTCTAATCATTTTTACATTCTCCCACACTATTAAACTGCGGTGTCAACAAACACCTCTCAACTTTTAGAGATGAATACAGGCACATCTTTAACACAAGGAATGTAGGCATTAGACATACAGCTGCCAGTCCCCCCATTAGGTGTATCATAAAGAATTAATACAACAAAACAATAGTTGGTAAACCCACTTTTACAATTTTTTGGTGACACCAAGCCTTATGAAGGACTCCTCCTGCCACAGGGCAAGGCGAGAATGTTCAGATGGTGCCGTCTAGAATCTAAACACATTCTTACATATCTTAATTGTACTTCATTTTATTGGTTATTAGGGATGAGTTTAGGTGTGGACAAGGTTCAAGCTCCACAGAACCTGGAAGGAAGCTGCTTTAGCTAACACACAATAAGCTACAGCAAGGAAATTCCCCACTCATATCTGCAAAGGGGTGGGATTGCTTTATTTAATGTCATTGATCTAATATGGCCTTGTTGCCATATATGGTCAATCATGTCAGCACATGCATCCCACCCCCTTGTTTATGTGCAGCTGCAAGGCAGGGAATGCCCCAATTAGCAGCTGACTATGTGGTTGGGTGGCCCCACGTCCCTTCCAAGTTCAGAGAAGCTCAGATTTGTACTGGATTCATTCCAAACCTAGTAAATAGTAAATTATGCATTTCTTTACGGAGGTCTATACATCAAAAGAGGGACAACTGTGCAGGAAACAGGAACAAATTGGTTCCAAAAATGGGACAGTTCCTTTTCAAATGATGTGAATATGCAGGTGCACATGAGAGTTCAGAAGCACACAGTCTGTTTTCATGTTATGACCAGGAATTTACTGAAGCTGGCCACAAAAAAAAAAAAAATCAGATTTTGTTTTTTATTTGATCCTTTCAAATTGTCATTAAGATCTTCACACTGCATATATGTTGGTAATTTTGGTTGATCTGACAGATTAGATCTGCAACAAGATCTGACAGTGTGCAGCCAACATCACAGCTTCGGCCATAATGAAGGAATTGGGAGACAAGCACCTCAGTCTCCAGCTGATGATTACTGTCATTGGACAGTCATCACCAGACAAGGGAGTGTTCTATGAATACATTTAGTCTTAGATATCTGCCTGCTTAGCTTGCATGGTGTAAAAAACCCCCAGAAAAACGACCATTATCCTATGCCCAAGACTTTGTAAACATAAAAACAGCAAAACAGGGTTTTGGACTCTGGTCACAAAGTACCCCAACCTATGATGCAGAAGACCTAGATTGTATTGTATAGCTTTTTTAATCATTTTAGGAAACATAAGAACTAATTAATATTTAGCTTGGTAAAGCACTGTGTATCATAAACAATCCCCTTTTTTAATAAAATACAGGTTTCACATCTTTTCATACTTTGCTGAATCCTGCTGATCCACTCCAGCATCCTCTCTGCAGGCATTTCCTGTCTACTTGTACA